CATCAAAAAATGGTCTCGAGAACGGTTTTGACCGCATTTGGTCTGGGTCTTGTCTCGGTCTCGGGCGCTGAGGACCAAGACCAAGACCGATCTTGAGTACTACAACACTGGCCAGAAAGGTGGAAAATGTCTGACTGTTGCATGATCCCTACTAATGAGAGTAGTAACTGAGATCAAATATAAAATGTGTGATGGGACGGACTGAACTCTCACCCCATCTCCCTTCTCCAGCCAGTAACTGAGCCACCAGTTGCTGAAGGCAGTGGATCCGATCATGAGGACTATGGTCAGGACGGTGAGGAAGGCGATGATGTATCCTGCAGTGAAACGAGTTACCAAACATTAACCAGAGAATAGCTGATAAAACAATGGTAATGAGTTGAGAAGCTGCTGTTTGTGTCGGACCTCCTACTGCCTGGCAGTACTGGTGGTAGACCCTCCAGGACACAGATCCCTCGGTGGAGGCCTCCTGACTGACCAGCTGATCTCCAGACGCCACAGGAGCTGAACAGGAACAAAATGAATCTATTCAATCCTTTGATTGAAACATCTTGCATTTATACAGCTGATTACTCCATGGTGGATTATCTGAGCAGTTTATTTTTAGCTTTTATTACTTCATTAGTTTTTTGTAGCACTTCTTTGACCCACCAGAGGTCCTCAGTTTCCTTCTCTGTCTTTGATTCTACATGTATTTCCTTATTTATATACTTCTAATTTGATTTTTGATCATTTAATCATTTAAACAGCCATAACGCCATTTTTTATTTGCTAGGTTTTACTAAAAGCTTGTTTGGTTTTACATTCAGTGTTTCTGTTTTGGGGAGCGAATTTCTCCAATGTGAGATCAATAAAGTTCAATTATATTATTATTTCTCTGTTTCTGTTCAGTTGATCATGATTTTTTAAATTAAAGCACAGTTTCTTTGTAGTTTGTATAGCAGCATGTTAGCAGCTGGAGATCGTGTTTTAAGGGGAAATCTGATCCCTCTAGATTTTGCTTTTTGCGTCAAAACAATTCACCCTCCTCAAAGCACCAGGGATATCCAGCAAATACTGTTTCTAAATGATTGAGACTTGTTTTACATCCCCTTATTAAAAACCAGCTGCAGAAATTTGATTTGACACAACCTGGCAAAGAATTTTTACATTTTAAAAAAGATAAATCTCTGATTCTGAAAATGTCTGTGATCCTGATACCGAAACATTTCACATCAGTTCTTGTTTCATGATGTAGATTTTAGATTAAAAATGTTTTGCTACTTTGTCATTTAATGACAATATTCCTAAAGAAAAAAGAGAGAAAAAGGTATTCACAACCTAATTGCATGTTAAAATAGTAAAGAATTGTTATACTGTCGGCATAGTATAACAAAACAACACAACACTAGAGAACTACTTTTAAATTATTTGAAGAAAAGAGTTTTTTCTCAAGTTCTAGAGGAAAATAT